GACCGCGTGTAAAGGGTCCGTTATTGTTGCAAGGTTTGAATGTTGCTTCTGCACAGTCGTAAATGGATCACGTTTAGCGGAGAGACGAATGTTAACTTGCGCGATTTCTGGTTTGAGATTATTTTTACAAATTGAGTGTTTCTACATGTCATTGTGTATCTTCCGAACACCGGTTACCTAAGGCCAGTGATTTATGGTCTTAGATAAATCCCTAAACCCCTAAACAAGGCAGCTATTTAAGAGAACAACATCGAGATGCACATGCCTGAAAACGGTAAACAAATCAGATAGTAATCAAATCCCAGATAGCTACTGGAGCAGTGTAAGGATTAATTCACTTGAGTTGTATTTAAATAACATTGTTGCAGACAAATAAAATCATAAAAAGAAAAGAAAAAATGCAGTTCAATTGTAAATTCTGGGCTAATTATTGCCTGGCGGACCGGAGGAGAAAAGCTGCCTGGAAGTTATCCATTTTAAGTTTCTGGGAAAATCTGAGAGTGGAGGAGGAGAACAAGAGCTTTAGGGACTTAGTGGGTAATCCGCGGAGTGTAGACGCTCCGGGGGGGTTATGACGCCCCCGACCTGCCTGCTGGTGTGTCCTTGTCAGCTGCACCATTCTCTCTCTCTCTCTCTCTCCACGTCAGGGCTCACGCTCTCTCTCTCCATGGAATGGTCAGGGCTCACGCTCACTCGCCACGTCAGGGCTCACGCTCTCACAATTCTTTTATTAACACATTTAGGCACATCAGCATTTGTGCAGCTACTCTAGACTATATGAAGCACCAATCTTGCTCTACGCTCTCTCCGCGGATGCTCCATGCTCTCACTCTCCACGGAGCTCCACACACACAAACACACACACACACACACACACACACACACACACACACACACACACACACACACACACACACACACACACACACACACACACACACACACACACACACACACACACGCGCTCTCCTCGTCCGAAAATTGCCACACACCTGTCTAAGATTCATCACATATCTGCGTCATTCAGAATTAAATGCCAATCTCGTGGCATGACGTATTTAAATGTTATAATATATTTGTTTTATACAATGCAGAGTAAACACAGATACATATCGTTGCCGTTAGTGTTAAATGTTATGTTGATAATTTTCTGCAACTAAATTCACCTGCAGCTTTTGAAGTCCTGTGTCAGCCTGGAACTAAACTTTGAGAATGGGAAGTGAGGTCATCTGGGGCAGGAATACCTAAGGTATATTGAGCCCAGTGGCACCCGAAGCAAATATGGAGGCAGAGTCACATAGAAATCATAAAAAGATAATTTTTTAATCTGGGGAGGTAAGGGTTGGCGGAGAAATGGGAGGGGAGGGAGGGCGAAGCAGTGAGGAGGGATGGACGGAAGGGATGGTAGAGAGGAGCTGGGAGGGAAGAGTGGAGTGGGAATGGGGTTGTCGGAAATATACTAACTTCCCAAGTCTTGGGAGTAAAATAGGGAGCTGAGATAATAGAATGCCAGGAAAGACACACGGCCGTCAAACAGATTTCGAATGGAGAAACTCGATCTCTTTTTAGATTTAAAAGGCAGGGCAATGTTGTAGCAGGTGACGGAGCAGAGGAGAGTTACACCGTATGTGTATACGGGGGTAACAGGGAGTGGGTTGGGGTTGTCACTCCTTGTGTGTGTATACTGGAATAAAGATATTGGGTTTGGGTTAGGGTGGGTGTTACTCGGTATGAGTGTGTATAACGAAGTGAAGAAGGGATGGCACTGTGTGTGTGTGTGTGTGTGTACTCACCTAATTGTGCTAGCGCGGGGGGGGGGGGGTTGAGTTTTGGCTCTTTGGTCCCGCCTCTCAACTATCAATCAACTGATGTACAGATTTTTTAGCCTACTGTGCTCTATCAAATCTGAATTTGAAACTGTGTATGGAATCTGCCTCCACCACATCACTGCTTAATATCAATGATCCAATATTGATATAAATCTTCCTTCTAATTTCTTCTTTAGTTAGGTCATTTTGTATTTTCTTTAACACGATAAGTGACTATTGACAAGTCGTGAAGTTCATATTTATATCTTTGGTCTAATCCTTGGTTCTAAGGATGCCTTACCTTGACGTTTGATCTTAAGGTAACCTAAGGTTTCAAACGCACATATGAGAAGTCTTTCAAAATAAGAGCACCTTGAGAGAGCCCTTGATCCTAAGAGCTCACGTGGGAAGCTCTTAGTCCTAAGTTCACCTAAGGAAAGCTCTTGATCCTCAGAAAGCCTGAAGAAGCAAGAGATCATAAAAGCATCTGCATGGAATTCTAATTCATGTTCGACGATTTCTGGAGCGTCATTGAAACTTTTCTCCATCTTTTAGTGATAGCGATGTTCCTGAATGGTCTCGGGACCTAATTTACATGAACTCGACAACCAGATGTCCGAAGCGAGCGGGTGACTTCACACCTGACTATTGAGGGGGGTGACTTCACACCTGACTATTGAAGGGGGTGACTTTACACCTGACTATTGACCGAGGTAACTTCACACCTGCCTATTGTGCAGGTGACTCTGGCCAGTCTGACCTCAGATGTACAGGGAGGCTGAGGCGAGGGAAGGCAGCTTCTCGTATTATTAATATCCAGTAAGAATGTGGCGTTGGTCTACAATACGCGATTTAGTCCCGCAGAAAACATTGGAATTATATATATGTTGCTTCCAGGACCATAAAAGCTCACCACCACCACCACGACCCTACTCACTCCCAAGACTACCACCACCACCACCACCCTACTCACTACCAACACTACCACCACCACCCTACTCACTCCCAACACTACCACCAGCACCCTACTCACTCCCAACACTACCACCAGCACCCTACTCACTACCAACACTATCACCACCATCTTTTCCAGAAGTAACAGCAGCCAGTAGGCGGCGAAGAAGGAGGAGGAGAGATGGCCATCCAACCCGAAACTTAGCAGCAGTTATACCATTCTAAAAACAAGGGGTCTGCAAGTTTTTTTTCAGATGGAAAAGTTTTGACACTTGGTAGTATGTGGACAGAGATGAGGCTTTATGAATAACTGTGTTTTACTTGTCTAGATTTGCTTGCAGGGTCGAGCTTCAGCTCCCAATCCGCCCTCCCGCCCTTTTTCTGAATATTTTGTAGCTTAATGCAATGACACTTATCTTTCTGGTAACACTATACATTTAATATTATGTATCGAGTTCATTTTAACAACGAATTCACCTAATCCATTACATTTATTTACGGTTATTTTTGAACATATTTGTCAATTTCCATCTATTGTGTTTGCGTGTCCATCCCTCTAGACCTATCGCTTCTCGTTCATCCATCTCTGCCTTATTTTGCCTCTCTTCCTTCCATCTCCCATTTCTCCTCACCATCCCACTCAAGCTCTACTCTCTTTCTCCTGCCTTTGCTGCCTGCTCTCTTATCTCCATCTTAAATTCTCTCCAAGACGTCCTTGCGAAGACGAATAACTTGCCATTTCTATTGCTGTTCCTTCCTTCCCGTGCTGGCTCCGGGGAATATTTTACTAGCCCTTAACAGCAGATCTTGACTCGAAAGAAGCAATCAAAGTCGTCTTCTTATTTGGGAATATTGCACTGTAAAATCTCATCACCTGCCAAAAAATCACTGCAAGTGCATTGGGCTAAAGCAGCAATTAGCTGTATTTTTGCTATATTCGGTGCTGATATCCTTGGTGTCGCTATCCTTCGTGCTATCCTCGGTGTTGCTATCCTGGGTGTATATAACGTCCGTGTGTTGTATCCGCATAAACCGTTCAGCTGTTGGTGTTTCTCATGTTTCGTGTGTCTAGTGTTTAGATAAATTAGATTGTGACCATAGACCAAACCACACACACTAGAAACTGAAGAGACGACGACGTTTCATTCCATCCTGGACCATTATCAAGCCAATAATCGACTTGATGAGGGTCCAGGACGGACCGAAACGTCGTCGTCTCTTTAGTTTCTAGTGTGTGGTTTGGTCAACATTTCTTCAGCCACGTTATTGTGGCTCATCATCTGCATAATGTCTGTATTTTGCATGCAACAAATTTTTCATTTCCCTCTGATCCCTCTCCCACCCCCCTCCCCTCCCCTCAACACCATACACATTCATACATACATGTATGGATACATATACACATACATTTCCAACTGAATTTCTTTACTATATTCACATGTATTATAAATTATATTTGTTGTACACTTTTGTGGACTTGGGTGCACTTTTTTGTGATTATCTGGTGGGCTGTTTCTACACCACCTCTGTTTTCTTTGGCTGTAAATTTAAGTTCTTTGAAAACTTTTGGATTTGTTTGCATATATAATTTCTGGATTAAGTGTTCTAGCATAGGCCTCGTGTAGGCTGTGTTTAGTGCCCATAGTAGTTCCTTGTCCAGGATCTGAATGCTGGTCTTAAATTTACCGGATTTGCGTATGCGGCTGAAGTTGTATGAGCTTTCTGTGATAAACTTCTGGCTTTAATAAAGGAACGAGTGTGGTGGTGGTGCCAGGGTGCCGTCGTCAGCTGGGCGTCGCGACGGTCTCCAGCCTCTGCCCATAATGCGGAGATGATCTTAAATCTTAAAATGGACTACCCTGTAAATCCCTCCAGTCCTTACTGTTATCAAGACACAAATTCTGCCTGTTTCTCTCTCTCTCTCTCTCTCTCTCTCTCTCTCTCTCTCTCTCTCTCTCTCTCTCTCTCTCTCTCTCTCTCTCTCTCTCTCTCTCTCTCTCTCTCTCTCTCTCTCTCTCTCTCTCATCCCCACCTACTCTCTTCCTTCCCCCCACTGCAGTGGGCCAGTAAAGGATGGAAGCCAGAGCGATATGGATGACCTTATAAATTTTCCTCTTACGGTGCTTCTCAATACAAATTCGGGCGACTTATGACAACGGAAGGTGAAAAAAGAACCCCATGAATATTTTCCCACCCTTTATCGGGGTGCGTGTTTGGGTGTGCGAGAAATATCCAAAGATGAGGATAGAATTGACATGGGAGGAGAAGGTTGGAATTGGGGTTGAATATGTGTGAGTGGTGTAGAGGTGGGTATATAGTCTCTCTCTCTCTCTCTCTCTCTCTCTCTCTCTCTCTCTCTCTCTCTCTCTCTCTCTCTCTCTCTCTCTCTCTCTCTCTCTCTCTCTCTCTCTCTCTCTCTCTCTCTCTCTCTTCTCTCTCTCCTTATTGTTTCATATCCAGTCCCGTCTATAGGAGACAGCATTCGGAAGCCTATACTTTCCTCCACATGACTGTCCCAGTCATGTTACTCACATAACATTTAACAGTATGAGGAACGCTATCCTATATAATTAATCCTTATAATATATGGTCTCTTAAGAATCATTTATTCGAGACATCGTTGACAATTTTATTTATAATAAGTGTAAATGGATATTTGCGTGTGCATGCAATTTGTGCGTGACCTTTGGATAAGCTTGACCACAGAGTCCACCTGCGAGAGCAACGGTCTCGCTTCATGCAGGTGGACGTTCAATCCCCGACCGTCCACAAGTGGTTGGGCACCATTCCTTTCCCCCCCCCCCCCGTTCCATCCCAAATCCTTATCCTGGTCCTTTCTAGGTGCTATATAGTCGCAACGGCTTGGCGATTGCTCCTAATAGTTCCAATCCCTTTTGGCCTTTGTGTGTTCAGTCGTTAGAGGTTCGTAGTATACTCTTCAAGTCACTGCGGTTGATCTTCGATCACTGAGTTTTGTTCGTCTATTTGCTGGGCTTCATGTGGTATCGTTGGGCCAGACTCCAAGTCGCTGGGTACCCACATTGCCTCGAGTGTAGCCACCCGACATATTATTATTATTTAACCAACGTACATGTGTTCTTAACCGTTGGTTTAATATTCGTGTCATTGTATTGATGTCATTATACCTCTGAATCAGTCTCGTAGTTTAGTTTATGCATCATTATAATATTGTACACGGTTGTATGTTAGTTTCCCCCTATTCCGTATCTCTGTGACCCTCCGTAAGGTATGATAAACGACAGACGGGGGTTAGGGGGGGATATTTGTGTTGATCCTGTATGTATTTCAGAGTAGAATGGTGGCGGGAAGCAGAAAGATACGCCGCCTCCAACAGACATTTCATTGCGGAGGAGCAGAGGGTTGCACCGGAGCCCGGTGCTCCCTTGTATATAAATGGTGAATCTTGCTCCTGGTGGGACGTGGACGGCACAGGACAACCTCGACGAGCTTTGTGTTCTTGATTAAGGGCTGGCAAGTGAGACTGTCTGACCACGCCTTGTAAACATATACATATATAACTTTGATTACCTGTGGTGCCCATTTTTTGTAGATTTCATGGCTGGAGAAAAATTTCAGCGCTGCGGTTCGCATTCCTGTTAACTGCGGGTCGTTTCATCGTCTGGACAAAGCAGGTCCATCCTCAGCAGCAAAAATTCCAAAAGTTGTGAGCGGAAAGTTTGTAGATCAGCGAGGCTCGTCAAGATCGGAGCTTTGTGCGGGGCCATACAAAAGCTACTCGTAAATTGTCAGCAGAACTGTGTCGGGGACGCCTGCTGGACGGGGGAGCAGGAGGTGGAGCTCCCGGGGGAGAGTTGTGGGAGGGTGGGAAGATGGAGTGGAGGAGGTTGAACTGCTGGAGGGAGAGAAAAGTAGGTAGAGCTGTGAGAGGAGGCGCAATAAGCTGGAGAGCAGTAGAAGGAACAGAATAATTTAGAGCCCAAATAAATTGAAAAAATGGATGGAAGAGCGTAGAGGGAAGGGAGAGGGAGAAAAATAGTTGGCAGTGATGGCTCCAGGGAGAGTGACTCACGATGGTCGAAGCTGAGTGCGAGAAACATCTTGAAAAATCGGCGAACAGAGATGAAATAGAAAATTAAAAATATCTATTCGGTAAAACCAAAGACGAATGGAACATGAGGAAGAAGCGGCAGATGCAAATACAAGACAGATGAAAATATATGTGAAGGAGTAAATTTATATGTAGACGTGATTAGCTAGATTGCAAAGTGGTTCATGATTGAAAACAAATCACAGGTAGCTTCTTTCCTCTCTATAGGATTTAAATAAAAAAAATGCCCTCAGTAGGGACATAAAACGATGGTCTGTTTCAAAGAGTTTTAAGACCCATTCTGTTGATTTATAAGGTCGGGTTGACATGCTCAGTAAAACTAATAAGTTTTTTGTACAATAAATTGTAATGTATTAAGGTGTCATTTGAATAGTGATTAATTTATAAATTATTATTTCACCATTAAAAAAAAATGAGTGAGGCTTATTTGCCTTATAGAGTAGCAATTAAATATGCAAACATTGGGTCCCTGCCCACATTTATCACTGCTCGACGAGCTCCAGACCTTATGTTGTTTCTCATCATAAGACGACCTTCTCCTGTGCTCTTGTTATTCATCATAAGACGACCTTCTCCTGTGCTCTTGTGTCTCATCACAGGACGACCTCCTCCATAGCTCGTGTTGCTCTTCCAGTTCCTGGCTGTTCAGCGGCCAGTAGACACCTCGCTTCAGTTTCTAGTTCAGTCTGGCTTTATGTATTATTACAGCCTGAGTCAGGGAAAGGGGAGGCTCTTCATGTTTTCATTTTAAAGCCAAGATTAACTCTCTCCCTCTCTCCCACACGAGGATTATATTTTAAGTTATTGCTATTGAAGTTAATACGATCAGTACTGTAATAATACGAATGACATAAACATGTGGAAATAGGGTGATAGAAACCGTTGTGATAATAATAATATTATTAATAATAGGCATAAAACTGGGTTTAATATATTAAATAATATTTTCTAGTATTATTACTAATATTATTATCAGGAAGATCTCCAGAATTTTATTGCTTATCAAGGAAGATTTGCGAACTTTTTCCCGCACCCCGAAGGTGATGAGCGAAGAGCAAACTTCTCAGCCTTTGACTGGGGGAAAAAGTGGAGAGGTGGGATTGGAGGCAGAGTCTTAGGACCCCGAGCGGCCAATTTTACCGTAGCTTCAGCCAGGGAGCTCCAGCCTCTATAGAAAACCTCAGCAGCTGTTCACAGAAAAGAGCTGAACATTGAAACTTAATTGTCTCTTCCTAAACTATCTCCCTCCCTCTCTCTGTCTGTCTGTCTGTCTCCCTCTCTCTCTCTCTCTCTCTCTCTCTCTCTCTCTCTCTCTCTCTCTCTCTCTCTCTCTCCCTCTCTCTCTCTCTCTCTCTCTCTCTTCTCTCTCTCTCTCTCTCTCTCTCTCTCTCCATTCCTCGATCCAGCTTTCCTACCTCTCCTGCGACCCGTCAGTTCCCAGGCCGCAGAAGCAGCTCGGGAGGATATACTTCAGTCCGTGTTGAATGCATGGAAATACAACTGAATCGGTCCATAAATTTTCCACGGGATATCATTTCAATTTTTCTATAGCCACTGGATCGGAATAACTCGACCTGCCTGAAATGGCGCTTGGCATAAGGGAATATGCGCTCTTCTATATTTATATTTAGTTCGCACCTTTCACTGAGCTTCACAAACGATTCGATTAAGAATGAAGGAGTTCCATGTGATGGAGTCGCCTCTCGAGGCTCTTCAAGTACACTTCTCTTTTTCTGTGTGTGTGTGTGTGTGTGTGTGTGTGTGTGTGTGTGTGTGTGTGTTGTGTGTGTGTGTACGACATACTTCTAATTGTGCTTGCAGGGGTT